GAGTATATTTCTAAAATCATATGAACAAAATGGTCACGAAAATAACAAGAAAAGCAATAATAAATAAATTTTCATTGAATGTTAACAATACATATACATTTCCTCAAAAATAGAGCTTTTTGGGTTTGTTGATTTTCTTTCAAAAATAATAAACGATAGGTAATATTACACTGTTATTCATTTTTCACATCCATACAACGGTTTATTCTTCACTAACCCAAGAAAAAAACTTAGTATTATTTGAAAATTGTAAAAATTTTCAAAAAAATATGACTTACTCATTTTAAGTCGAACACAATATTCAGTTCAGAAAGAGAAGAGAGGAGATGTGAAGAAAGATAAAATAATGAGGGAAAATATTTGTTTTGATAGTCGAATTTTTGGATTTTCTAAGGAATAAGAAGAAGAGAAGAGAGAACATTCAGAGAAGAAGAAGAAAAAAAATCTATTTTCATTTAACTCTTTTTTTTAAAATTTTTTTTTGATAGAATTATAAAAGTTGAAAAATGAAGTATTTTTTTATAATTTACAAAAGAATAGAAAGTTTTAAAAATATTAATTTTGTCATAAATTTACTTAATTACAAATTTGACCAGCTCTTGATCAATCTGTCACCAAAAACGAATTCAAACCGAAACTAGTTTGACACCTTTCATTTAATTTTTTCTATGTCTCTTTGAAAATTCTCTGTAGCACCCTATCTGGTGCCGTACTGAAACACATTTGTCTTGAATGTTGATGCAACTATTGTGTTTGATGAAATTCCCAAATGAAAGAAAAATGGCAAAATCTTTACAATGTATTCTTCTAAGGATTACATGATTGTAGAGAATAAGTCATTAAAATGGAGAGACCTCTGCTTTTCCTCTCTTATTGAAAATTTATGACGGACAAGAGTTAACAAAATATTCAATTAGATAGTGTGAGAATGGGAAGGCTGTTTTGTTTCTTAATCATTTCTTTGCCTAAAGGTGTTCAACCATGAATATTGGTATTAGGAGAACAACTGAAGTATTCTAGTTCTTTGCTGATCTGGAAGCAAAACTAGACTATATGGAGGCTCTGGTGCTCTACTTTCCCTAAGAATCTCTACTCTTAATTTATGATTGACAATAAGTTACCAATTTTAAATAAAAATAAAGAATCGATATGCTTTCAGATACCTTGTCTCGTGCAAGCCTTTCTATGTTAAATTTGAACTAAAGAGTTGATTGAGGTTGTTAATGTATGATTGACTATATATAAAAATGAATGTGGCATCTTTGGAATGACCAATTTCATCTATACTTCATGTAAATATCGGTCATCCAATACTGAAAGAAGATGGTGATGCATCTGACACTGTTGTCTTATCTAGAGACTAGAATGAAGCAATTTTGTGCTATGAACAAGCTGAAGAAAGCAGCATTCAAGGTTAGTCGTAAATTCAATTTTCTTAATTTTAACAAGATAGGACATTTCTCTCCCTTTCATGTGTTGCCCAACAATTGTGCTTATTTTCCATAGGTATTTACTGAAAATCTCTCAGAAGAAAAAAACATTTGAAGGAAATATTCAATTTATAGATTGTTAGACAATTACATTTGAACAATTGAAAGTTGGTTTTACAAAAATGGGTACGCAACTTTCAGAGTCAGAAGTCAGGCAATTGATAGAAGCGAGTTTTTCATAATCATTCCTTATTTTATGGTTACTGTTCCTTTTATTTTTAGCTCATATGTACTGCAATTAAAAATATTCTTCATATTCATTTTACAAAGAATTGGTATTTTCCTGGCCATTTCTTATTTTATGATTATGGTTCTTTCTCCTTTTTTAGCTCATATGAATTCTTGCAATTATTCATCATGTTCAATTTACAAATTTGGCAACCAGTAAATCAGTTGTTGAGATGTAAACTTTTGAGGACTAAAAGCTTCTCGGTGAAGAGTATGAATGATAGACTTACATATTCAAGCAGAAACTCTTCATCTTGATAATGTGGTATCTCGCAAAGCGACAATATTTCTTACTCATTAGTAAGTCCTCATTGCTAAATGGAATGTTTTTAATTATTAGATGCTCCTGAAAATGATGTAGTTGTTCTCAATCCCCTTAAAATAGTTTGGCGTGAAATGTATTTGGCTTCAAAATATCATGATAATTGTGTACTCATTAATGCATATAGTTAGAATTTTCTTGGCTGTTGCTGATGTAAATGGAACAATTGATTACCGTGAGTTCATAACAACTTTATAACTCACATGAATCGCATGGAAAGAGAAGAGTGCTTGTACAAGGCCTTTGAGTATTTCAATAAGGATAAGAGTGGGTATCACCTGCCCCTCAATACTAGGTTAACATTTTACCGTTTTCTAATCTTGTTCTCTTTAGGTATATTACGATGGAAGAATGGAGCATACACTGAAGGAATACAACAATACTGATAAAAAATAATGAAAGAGATCATTATTGAATTTGACATATGTTGAGGAATCCAAATATATAGAGAGTGATGTAATCACAACTACTATATCTAGAGGTAGCTAATAAATAGTAAATGAGACAACAATAAAAAAAACACCAGGAATTAACGAGGTCCGACAAACTTTTGTTTTATTTTGCCTACTCCTTGGACACAAACAACCAATATTTATTTCATTCCAAAAGAGTACAAGTGAAATACTACAAGTGAGAAAGAAGAACAAATGCCTTAGGAGATGAGGATACAAGTAAGAGGTGTGTTACAAATGAATTAGGAGCTACCTATTTATAGAAGTGAATTTTTCCTATTGATGTCATCTATGACATCACAATATGTCAAGATTTACCTTGTGAAACCAATTTTTGGTTCAACTAATTTCACCTACAAATGTTGCTATCTTGATTTTTCTACCAATGAAGAATTATCCTCCTAACTACCATATCTTCTCATTAATCTATTTTTGAATCTTTTCAAATTTAATGAATCTCCACCTAAGCAAGATTCTCCATTTTCAAATTTCTCTAGACAACAATTTCGATTGTGTCTTCAACTTCAATCTTCAATGTTTAACAATGTTGATCAAGTTCAGACAATGTTGAAGCTTGACCACTATCACCACTTTTGTCAACATATCGACAGACTGTAATATGATTTTTCTATATTATGACTCCACCATCTTCTATGATGCCTCGTATGAAATGATATTGTACGATAATGTGCTTCTTCCTTTCATGATAAACTTTTTTCTTTGCTAATTGAATAGTACTCTGACTATCACAAAATATTGTGATTCCTTCTTGTCCAATACTAAATTTTCTAAGAAATCCTTGAAGCCAAATTTCTTCCTTAGTAGCCACTGTAATTGTCATGTACTCTATCTCAGTGGTAGATAAAGCAACTATTGACTCCAAAGTAGGCTTTCAACTAGCTGGTGCATTTGCAATAGTGAAAACATAACCAGTAGTTGATCTTTGTTTATCCAAATCACATGCATAATCTGTGTCACAATATCCAATAAGATTTCGACTATCTTTCTGCTCGAAAACCAAAGCAACATCCACAGTATTATGATTATACCGTAGAATTCATTTTATAGCCTGCTAATGGTCCTTTTCCAGGATTATGCATGTACCTGCTTACAACTCCAATAACGTGTGAAATACTATCCTTGTGCAAACCATTCCATACATCAAGCTACCAATAACATTCGCATATGGTACTTTTGACACATATTCTTGTTCACATTCATTCATAGTGACATAGCATCACTAAGCTTAAAATGAGGAGCAAGCAGAGTGCTAACCGACTTTATTTTTTTCATTCATACCGAATCGGTTTAGCACTCTCTTCAAATATTCTTTCTGAGATAATTAGAGTTTCTTTAAATTTCTATCTCTTTTTATCTCCATGCCAAGAATCTTCTTTGCATCACCCAAATCCTTCATCTCAAACTCCTTTCTTAGTTAAATTTTTAACTTCTCAATTTCTGCTTGACTTTTAGAAGATCAACATATCATCAACATATAGGAGAAGATATATAAAGGCATCATCTTCAAGCTTCCGCAAATACATTCAATGATAGTATTTGCTTCTTATGGACCTTTGCTGCATCATAAACTTGCCAAATCGATTGTACCACTGTATAGAAGATTCTTTCAATCCATACAATAATTTTTCAAGTTTGCACACTATATTTTCTTTTCCATCAACTTTGAATCCTTCTGGCTGATTCATATAGATATCCTCTTCCAAGTCTCCATGTAATAATACAGTTTTTATATCCAACTGAACTAGTTCAAAATTCAACTATGATACCAAAGACAACAAAACTCTAATGGAGGAGTGTTTCACAACTAGAGAAAATGCCTCATTATAATCAATTCCCTCCTTTCGAGCATATCCTTTGGACACCAATCTTGCATTATATCGAATTTCTTCTTGGTTAGAAAATCCATCTTTCTTTGCAAATGCCCATTTCCACCCAATTGCTTCTTTCCCTCCGGGAGATTGGCCAATCTCCATGTATGGTTCTAATAAAGGGACTACATTTCTTCATCCATGGAAATTGTAACATCTGGGAATACTTCCTAGACGTAATCAGGGTTGTCATCATCTTTGAGGACTAAGACTAGCCTCTTAGCTTACATCATTACATTCATAGGTCAAAATTAGTGGAAATTTATAACTTTTTATTGCTTATACATTGGGGTTTACATAGACCTCTACATACACATAGTGTATATATATAGAGAGAATATACATATACCCTTTGTATACATCCAGATTCGATAAATTTTGTGGGTAATGCGCAAAGAGGGGGAGACCAACAAAACTATGGGAACACCTACAACCTGAGTTGGCAAAATCACCCAAACTTCTTGTGGGGTGGAAATCAGAGTCAAGTTCAAGGTCAAAATCAGTACAGATTTCAAGGTAACAGTCAAGGATATCAAGGGCAGATTCAAAGAGAACAATCTAAACCACAACCTGGTAATATGAGTGTTGAAGAGATGTTAAACAAAATCATGGCAGATCAAGATGATGATGAGGGAACTCATCAACATTAATTTGAACCTATCCCAAGCTTGGTATAAGTTTTCACCACCTTTCTTCCTAAAGGTAAGAATATCACTTCTTAACTTAGTGGTCTTCCCAAAAGGGAAGATTCTAATGAGGAATTTCTAGGCAAGATCATCCCAAGTGGTGATTGAGTTAGCAGGATCTGAGTTCAACCATATCTTTGCTTGCCCCAAAAGAGAAAAGGGGAATAAGGTGAGCCTCACATGATCTTTATTTACTCCTGATGGAGTATATGTCACTGATCTCTAAGAAATACTGAATGTGAACTATGTGATCCTTATGAGAGAGACCAGTAAATTGCCCATTTGAGTGCAATATCAGCACTTTACTCTGTTTAAATTCAAATCTTCCACCAGCCTCCGGTTTCTGAATACAACAAGTAGCATTGGTGGGTCATGGGATTGCTACATCTCTAACTCTCATTTCATTAGCAACCATTGTTTCGGGTGTCAACTCTCTTTCTTATGTTTTTTGAATTAGAGTTGCTGATTCCCCAAACTCTAGAGAAATTGAATGCTCTGCTTGTCTCAGTTTCCTATGTATGAATATTTAAGGTTCTGAGAGTGGTGACAATAGGTCACGATCGTTGTCCAGTTTCCTATGTATGAATCTTTGACGTTCTGAAATGCTAAGATCAAGTTGCCAACATTTGTGATAGGCTTTTAGAAATAGAAATTAAATGACTTCTAATTAATGCAGTCCCCAGCAGCGGCGCCAAAAACTTGATGCGGTCTAATCACACACGGAAGTGCACGTGATCATATAAGCAATATAATGGTTCTTGTTAAAAAGTTGGGTATCGTACACACAGAGACTACAAACTAGATTGTATTAACTTTTCCAATTCCTAGATTAAAACAAGTACACTGTCTAAATTTCAGAAATGGCTATACTAAAATTTATGGTTAACTAAAACTAATTACTATGATTCAATTTCCTAACTTGTAATGATTATAAATGGAGAGATCCGGGATTGTAGATTTAATCAGGACTTAGGAAGTTGACATCATCTGATAAAATTTTCAGACGTTATCTCATCGATGAACCACAGGATTAAATATATGATGATGGTCTCTGCTGTGAGTACTCGTAGTGGGATACATTTAGACGAATTGTCTCCAAGGAAAAATGTTATCGAAGTGGTGAGTAAAGACGGTGAACCAACAAAGGGTGTGTCCCAGAATAAGGAAGAAGTGGAATCTGCAACAAACAGTAAGACCACCTCCTCCATTCCCTAAAAAGTTTACGAAGCAAAAGGAGGATGAATGCTTTGGTAAGTTTCCATTTTTCTTTAAAAAGTTCATATTAACTTGACTTTGGTAGATGTTTTGCAAGGTATACCCAGGTATGCGAAGTATGTGAAAGAATTTGTAGCAAATAAAATGAGATTGACTGAATACGAGACAGTTGCACTTACTAAAGAGTGTAGCTCGAGGATTCAGAATAGGTTTCCTATGAAGCTAAAAGATCCTAGGAGATTTACGGTACAAATTACCATCGTCCAAAGTATCCATGCGTGAGGTTGTGCCATTTGGGGGCCAACATTAATTTAATTCCAACTTCATTATATAAGAAACTTGGGTTGGGTAACCTAAGATAACCATTGTAATTTTACAATTGACTGATAGATCTGTAGGTAGACCAGAAGGAGTTGTAGAAGATGTACTGGTGCAAGTGGGATCTTTAATTTTTCGATGGATTTTGTGGTATTGAATTTTGAGCCAGATCCTAAGGTTCCATTCACATTAGGACGACCATTTTTGGCCATTGGGAAAGTAATGATTGATGTAGCTGCTAGTCAACTAACTATGCGAGATCACGATAAGGTAGAGGTTATGATGTATATAAAGCCTTAAAAATTCCACCGCTGTATGAGGAGTTATCTGCCATCACTCTGGTAGATCTGGAGGTAGATAGTAATCACATCATGGCTAAAGACTCTCTAGAACGAGTAATGATGGGTGATGAGATCTATGGAGATGCTGAGGCATAGGAAATGATGCAGATGTTAGACTTGGTAGTCATAGAAGAATTAGGGTGAAGATGTAAACCATTGAACAGAGTATTAGGGTCGCAACCTAAGCCCTCTATTGAAGAAGCTCCTCAATTAGAATTTAAAGACCTTCCAGCGCATCTAAGGTATGCATTTTTAGGTGCAAATGATACTTTACCTGTTATTTTGTCTACAACATTAATTGATGGACAGGTGGAAGCAACATTCGTGATTCTAAAGAAGCGCAAAACAGCAATATGATGGCAGATGTCAGATATCCAAGTCATAAGTCCTGATTTGTGTATGCATAAGATCTACATGGAGGAAACATATAAAGCCAGTGCTCAACAGCAACAAAGATTAAATCCTTTGATGAAGGATGTGGTTGGAAAAAAGGTGATCAAGTTGTTAGATGCAGGGATAGTGTATTCAATATCAGACAACAAATGGGTAAGTCTAGTATAATATGTGCCTAAGAAAGGGGGGATAACTGTAGTGACCAATGACATAAATGAATTGATTCCCACAACAATAGTAAATGCGTGGAGAATATGTATGGACTACAATGTCGTATGAGTTTGTCACCAATTAGACCTATAAACAACCCCTTCTCATCAATAACAGTTATACCTTTCCACAATGACACAACACCTAACCCATTATTCAGCGATTTTGTTGGATATTCAAGACTTCACCAACTACATAATTCTCAATTCATCACCCTCACACATCCGGTTCCATTCATTGACCAAATGTTGGACAGATTGGCAAGTAAAAAAATACTATTACTTTATGGATGGATATTCAAGGTATAACCAGATTGTAATTGCACCTGAGGATCAAAAGAAGATAACATTCATATGCCCTTATGGTACCTATGCCTTCAAACGCATGCCATTCGGGTTATGTAATGCTCCAGCTACTTTTTGGAGATGCATAATGGCAATCTTTCACGATATGGTGGAGATTTTGTAGAGGTGTTTATGGATGACTTCTCATTGTTTGGTGAGTCCTATGAGCTATGCTTGTTAAATGTTGACAGAGTCTTAGCAAGATGTGAAGAAAAAAATTTAGTTTTAAATTGGGAAAAATGTCACTTCTTGGTAAGAGAAGGAATTGTATTGGGACACAAGGTGTCGAAGAATGGGCTAGAGGTGTATAAAGCCAAGATTGAAGTAATTGAGAAATTGCCACTTCCAGTATTGGTTAAATGGTTAGAAGCTTTTTAGTCTATGCGGGTTTTTATTGAAGGTTCATTAAATATTTCTCTAAAACTGCAAAACCGATGTGTGATCTATTAGAAAAGGAGGTTAAATTCAAGTTTGACAAGAACTATTTAGAGGTCTTGAAAGTGTTGAAATAAAATTTAATAGAAGCCCATATCCTTGTAGCCCCAGATTGGGAGTTGCCATTTGAATTGATGTGTAACGCAAGTGATATTGTTGTCAGGTCAATGTTAGGACAAAAACGAAATCAAGTTTTTCACTCTATTTACTATACGAGTAAGACACTAGATGCATCACAAGCGAACTACACAATAACTGAGAAAGAAATGTTGGCCTTAGTGTTTGCATTTGACAAATTTAGGTCATATGTGGTGGTAACGAAGGTGATAGTCTATACTGACCATGCAGCCATTAAATATCTTTTCAATAAGAAGGATTCAAAACCACGATTGATCAGATGGGTCTTACTTCTCCAGGAATTTGATTTAGAGATTAAATATAGAAAGGATTCAGAGAATCAGATAGCGAACCATTTTTTCTAGATTAGAAGATTCATCTCATGTGTCAGAGAAAAGAAAAATTCGGGAAGAATTCCTTGATAAACAGCTGTTAGCAATGGATATTACACAGGTACCCTGGTATGCAGACATTGTGAATTATTTGGTGAGTGGTTTATTCCCACTTGGGCATCACCACATTAGAGGCATATATTGAGGTACGATGCTAAATTCTATATATGAGATGAGCCTTATCTATTTAAGCAGGGTCTGGATCAAATGTCGAGAAGATGTATAGCTGAGGAAGAGGCCCCAAAAGTGTTAGAAAGTTGTCACTCCTCACCATATGGCGGACATCATGGGGGTGAACGAACTGAGCATAAAGTATTACAATCTGGATTCTTTTGGCCTACCTTATTTAAAGATGTTATGTTGTTTGTAAAAAGATGTGACCAGTGCCAACGAATGGGCACAATTTCAAGAAGGCATGAGACGCCTTTACGTAATATTCTGGAGGTGGAAATTTTTTATGTTTGGGGGATCTATTTCATGGGACCATTTCCATCGTCTAGAGGAAATCAGTATTCTACTAGTGGTAGACTATGTGTCCAAGTGAGTTGAAGTAGTATCCTTACCAACCAATGACTCTAAAGTGGTTGTGAAGTTTATAAGGAAACACATCTTTACTAGGTTTGGCACTACCAGCGCGATCATCAGTGATGGAGGTAAGCATTTTATAAATAAATCCATGTATAACTTATCGGCTAAGTATGGGGTAAGGCACAAAGTGGCTACTACATACCATCCTCAAACAAGTGGACATGTTGAAGTATCTAACTGGGAAATTTAGCAGATCCTCCAGAAAACTATAAATGCTCAAAGGAAGGATTGGTCAGATAATCTAGATGATGCTTTATGGGCATATAGAACTGCGTATAACACACCAGTAGGGACGTCTCCCTACCAAATGGTTTTTGGAAAAGCATGCCACTTGCCCGCCGAGTTAGAACACAGAGCATATTGGGCAATAAAAAAACTAAGTTTGGATGCTAAGTTAGTCGGGCAGGACAGAGTAACACTACTGAATGAGCTGGAGGAGTTCAGGCTGCATGCATATGACAATGCAAAGTTCTATAAGGAAAAAACAAAAAAATGGCATGACAAGCACATAGTGTCACACACTTGAGCCAGGCCAACTAGTATTGTTGTTCAACTCCAGATTGAAATTGTTTCAAAGGAAGATCCGTTCTAAATGGAGTGGTCCGTTTGAGGTGGTGCAAATGACTTAACACGGAGTAGTTGAGTTACAAAACAAAAGCAATAGTTCCACGTTCTTAGTGAATGGA